GGGCCACCACCACTACAACAGATCTCCTTCTCGCTCGTCAGACATGAGTGACGAAGACGACCCCCACGGTCCCTTTTCACAAGCCATCATGGAAGCTCCAATTCCCCCGGGCATGGACAAGCCTCCCCATCTAAAGGAGTACGACAACATTGCCGATCCGGTCGACCATATAGACGGGTTCGAGGCAGTGCTTCATTATCACAATGTTGGGGGACCAATCAAATGTCGGTTGTTCCCCACGACTTTGAGGAAAGATACGATGGACAGGTACAAGAGTCTCTCCCTGGGGTCAATTACCTCCTGAGGAAATTTAAAGAACCAGTTCATCAGTTTGTTTACCGCTTCACGTTGGCACCCAAAGACTGAAGCAGCCCTCAAGGCTATCGTCCAGAGACACGAAGAGACTCTCAGGGAATTTATTGATCGGTTCAACCGGGAAGCCATCCAGGTCCCCTGCATTGATCACATGAAGAGATACATGCTCGAGAGGGGACTCCTCCCGGTAACGGAATTCAGAAAGACTGTTGGCATCGAACCACCCCGGACATTCGATTCCCTCCTCGAGAAAGCCAGAGCATACATGGACTACAAGGAGAGGGAAGCGTCCAATAGAGACCGGAACCCCAAGAATCATGGATCAACCAGCAATCCGCGACAACAAGACTTCGACCCTCCTTGATGAACTGGCGAGAAGAGGAGAGATGACAAAACCCGAGACCCTCGTGAGCAAAGAGGACCCTCGGGGCGGTTTACTAAGCACACTCCGCTAACGACTTCCCGCGAGCGCATTTTGGCAGAGTGTGCGAACACAAATTTCAAGGACGATGGTGTCAAGCGTCCTTGCTCCGCTCCTGCCAAACCCGGGGCAGATCGGAGAAAATACTGCCAATATCATCGAAGCCATGGACACTTGACTGAAGATTGTGTCCATCTCAAGGATGCTATCAAGACCCTCATAAAAGGGGGAAGACTCAGGAAATATCGGTGCGGCGACGCCCCCCATTGAGGTGCCCGCGAAACAAGGGAGATAGAGGAGGATGCTTGACCATCTGATGAGTCGGTCCTCATCCAGACCACATTTTCTGTTACGAGATCGGAGGACTTCTACGTCCCCAAACATATGGAAGAGCCTCTATCCATGCACATCAGGTGGGAAAGCTTCCCCTCCGCCATGGTTATAAATGATGGAGGGTTTAATGACATAACTATAAATTCAGCAAAGAGGAAGTTGGACAAGCTTGTTGACGCGGCCCCTCAGCAAACAGTGACTCTCAAGAGGGTTAAGGGCAGATCGGAGCCAATTACCTTTTACCTCGAGGAGTTTCCCGGAGGGGCCCCCAATTCAGCCATCCCTTTTCTAATCAGGGCGAGAATGGCTAACTTTGATGTTCATCGCGTCTTGGTCTACGAGGGAAGTTCCGTCGACGTGATGTACACCCAGCTCTTTAGAACCTTGCAGCTCGATGACTCTCACCTTTCACCATACGTGGGGTCTAACCTACAGGGCTTTAACGGCTCGACCTCTAAGCCATGGGGGTACGTGGAGCTCATGATCACCTTCAGCGAAGATAGCGCCACCAGGAAAGTCAAGGTGCGCTTCCTGGTCATCAACTTCCCGTCTCTCTACAACTGTATCCTAGGGAGACCGACGCTGGCAGAGTTGACCGCGGTATCCTCCATCGCCCATCTGAAGATGAAGTTCTACACAAAAGGGCACGCGTCGCCACCTTCCAGGGCGACCTAGCAACTGTCCGTAGATGCTTCAATCGGCGGCCAAGGGACAAAGCACAATCGACACTGGGGCACAGCCCGCCAAGAGAGATGCAACAACGCGACCAGAGCCACAACAATTAGAGCTACAACCCATCAAGGCAGAAGTATAGAAGGCTCCTCCAAAGGTCGACTCAATCTCGTTGGACACTTGCTTCGACCAAGACGAAGCGCCCAACGGCGAGCAGAGGCTCCTCCGACAAATTTCGGATGGGGACTTCGAGCTCGTCCCTCTCGGTGAATACCCAAACAAAGGGGTGAAGATCGGCACCGGACTCCCCGAACTGGCGAGGAAGCAGATCAAGGCTTGATTGAGGGAGAATGTAGATCTGTTCGCGTGGAGCGCTGCAGAGATTCCCGGTCTCGACCCCGATGTCGCCTGTCACGAACTCGCCATTGATCTAGCCGCCAGGGCAGTAGTACAACGTAGGCGTAGGAAGCCCCCTGAGAAAACGGAGGTTGCTAAAAAGTTGTAAAAGACCTCCTAGAGGCGAATTTTATTTCTGAAGCCCGGTACTCAACCTGGCTGTCAAATGTTGTACTCGTTAAAAAGAATAATGGAAAATGGCGTATGTGTGTTGACTATACCGTTCTTAACCGGGCATACCCCAAAGATGTATTCCCCTTGTCTAATATTGACATGTTGGTCGACAACTCAACTGGCTATAAAATTTTGTCTTTCATGGACGCCTATTAGGGCTATAACCAAATCCCAATGGCAATGAGCGACAAACACTGCACTGCCTTCATGACCATCTCGGGCAATTATTACTACAACATAATGCCCTTCGGTCTGAAAAACACAGGAGCAACATACCAGCGGATGATGAATAAAGTCTTCCGCAACGAGATCAGAGATATGCTCGAGGTATACATGGATGACATGATCGTCAAATCTCGAGTAGACACTGACCATGCTGCTCTTCTCAGAAAACTCTTTGCCCAAGCAAGGCAATGTAGAATGAGGTTCAACCCCGAGAAATGCACCTTTGGGGTTAAGGCGAGAAAGTTCCTCAATTTTTACCTAACAGAACGAGGAATCAAAGCCAACCCCGACAAGTGTCGGGCGTTCTCTGACCTCCCTACACCTAATTCAAAAAAATCCATACAAGTCCTGAATGGTATGTTCGCCTCGCTCTCCCGTTTCGTCGTGAAATTCGCTCAATACACCCTTCCATTTTTCAAACTCCTCCACAAGGAGTCAACTTTTAAATGGACCGAGGAATGCGAACAAGCCCTCCTCCATCTCAAGAAGAGCGTTTCACAACTTCCCGTACTATCACGACCACTAGGCGGGGATACTTTATTCCTGTATCTGGCCGTCTCTGTCGAAGCCGTCAACGTGGCCCTCATTCGCGAGACTCTTGACGGTTAAAAACCCGTGTATTTCATGAGCAAAGCACTCCAGGGACCCGAGGTCAGATACCAACAGATCGAGAAGGTGGCTTTGGCCCTCGTCAACACAACGAGAAGGTTCAGACACTACTTCCTCGCGCACACGATCGTTGTACAAACAGACCAGCCCGTGAGATAACTCTTAGGCCAACCAGACATGGCAGGTTGAATGCTAAAGTGGTCCTTGGAGCTTTTGGAATTCGATATCCAGTACGAAAGCAGGAAGACTCTAAAGGCCTAAGCTCTGCCCGACTTCGTCGCGGAGATGACCGCTCACAACCCCCCGCAGGGAAGGAGCACAAGTGGACCATCTTTGTGGACGGAGCGTCCAGCTCGACTGGGAGTAGAGCAAGAACCCTCCTCGAAAATGAGGAAGGCGTCATGATCAAACACTCTCTCACTCTATCCTTTCCGACCTCAAACAATTAGGCATAATACGAGGCTCTGCTCGCAGGTCTAAGACTGGCCGAGGATTTGGGTGCTCGTGAGATACAAATTTTCACTGATTCCCAACTTGCCACGTCTCAAGTTCAAGGGGGATACCAGGCTAAGAACAACAACCTCATTGAATATTTAAACTTGGTCAAAGAATATATGAAAAAGTTCGACCGAGCAGAAATAACACACGTGCCACGTGAACAGAACACACGAGCCGATATACTTTCAAAGCTCGCAAGCACGAAAAAGAATGGCGGAAACAAGTCAGTCATACAAGAATCCATGTCTCACCGAGCATTGAAAGGTCCACGACTTTACTCGAAGTGAATGCCATCGGGGATAACTCATGTTGGATGACCCCGATGTTTAACTTTCTGACGAAAGGGGAACTTCCCCTAGACCAAAGGGAGGCAACCATTACTAAACGATGGGCATGCTCGTATGTGGTTCTCGAACACAAACTTTACCGTCGGGGATTCTCCATCCCACCCCTTAAATGTGTCGAAGAGTCTGCAATCCCTGAGATACTGCGGGAAATCCACGAGGGAATCAACACCCAACACATGGGCGGAAGATCCCTAGCACGAAAGGCCCTTCGAGCAGGGTACTATTGAACGACCATGCAACAGGATGCCAAGGAGCATGTCAAGAAATGCGATAAGTGCCAGAGGCACGCAAACATGCACCTCGCGTCCTCACAACATTATCCTCCACGTGGCCATTCGCGTGGTGAGGAATGGATATCCTTGGACCTTTCGTGCAAGGAATCTATCAAAACAAGTTCCTTATCGTAGCCGTCGACTACTTCACAAAATGGGAAGAAGCCGAAGCTCTGGCTAAAATCACATCGCACAACATCCTCTGTTTCTACAAACGAAATATACTTGCCCGGTTCGGAATACCGCGAGCACTCGTCACCGACAATGCGCAGTTCACCGACAAAGATTTCCAAAGCTTCGTCGCCAAACTAGGCACCAGGAAACATTTCACCTCGATCGAACACCCCCAAACTAACAAAGATGATGGGCTGATGTTTAATTTCAAATTTAGTGTTAATTATCGTAAGAAAATGAATACATATTATTAATTCATTGACGTGACATCCATTAGACAATATTAATTTAACAGATAGATCATCATCAAGGGGTTGTAGCTCATATGGTAGAGCGCTCGCTTCGCATGCGAGAGGCACGGGGTTCGATTCCCCGCAACTCCATTTTATGTTATTTTTTCTGTATCAATTACTTAGATTGAGCAATGACGTTTTTTGGCTACGAAGTTTTGTCTCTTTAGTCATGCGTCTACGACTTTTTCTTCAATAATGTTACTTGTTTTTCTTCAAAACCACTTCATTATTTTTCTCTATTTTACACCAACCACTCAAAGATACAATATCCATGGTTTCAACTTCATCAGATATTTCAAGCATTAAAGCCTTTGCAGAATCAAACGGAGCCTCTCCAATCCCTTCCAATTACCACTCTTTTGCAGATATCAATGATGTTGCAGATGCAGACGGCCTTGCAGCTTCCATTCCAGTCATTGATTTCTCTTTCCTCACTTCAGATGATCCTCAAATCCACACCAAAACTGTTGATGAACTCGGCAAAGCATGTGCTGAATGGGGTTTCTTCATGGTACCTTATTTTCCTACTAGTTTTTCCGAATCATACATGAATTTCAATGTCAATTAATATTGTCTGTGCATGTTCAGCTCATAAATCATGGAATTTCTGAGAGTCTAATGGAAGAGTTGATGAAAAAATCTCGCGAGTTTCATGATTTGCCGATGGAGGAAAAGAAGGAGTTTTGTGACAATGGCGATCCTTTCTCACCTATCAGGCATGGTACCAGCAGAGAATGTTCATTATTGGAGAGATTTTCTCAAAGCTTTAACATCTCCTCAATTCAATTTCCCCGACAAACCACCAGGTTACAGGTAATTAAGTCCAACACTAACACAAACTCTAAACCAATAAACGAAATTGATTCCTCTGGTTTTGTGTAGGGAGGTTGCATTTGAGTATTGCGAAAAAATCACGGTTATAGCGAGGAAATTAATGCAGGGAATATCAAAGAGCTTGGGATTAGAATCCAGTTCCATAATTGATTCCTCTGGTTTTGATTCTGGCTTACATTTCATGCTTGTGAACCTGTACCCTCCATGTCCACAACCAAACCTTGCTCTTGGCTTGCCCTCACATTCTGATGTTGGCTTCTTAGCCTTTCTCATTCAGAATGAAATTGGAGGGCTTCAAGTTAAACATGAGGGTAAATGGGTCAATGTCAATCCCATTCCCAACTGTCTAGTTGTCAACATTGGAGATCAACTTGAGGTAGTAATCTCTTCTAATTGTTTGACAATAGCTACTAATATCAACTTATGTAGCACGGACACTTCAAAAAAAATGCATATATGTACCAAAAAATTATTATCGATATCGCTAAATGTTGTGTTTCATAGAGTATCACTGTTATAAAAACAGAACATGCAACTTGATTGCAGTGAATGAGAAAACTGCAAACCATATCATGACCAATGCGATTCACTCATTTATACTCTATAGATTAGGTTGTGAGTAACGGGAGTTATGCAAGTGTGTTACACAGAGCAATCCTGAACAACAAGGACACTAGGATTAGTGTTGTAGTGTTGAATGGGCCTGCACAAGACAAGGAAATTGGACCTGCCCCTAAACTATTGGAGAAAGAAAAGTCATTGTTTAAAAGTATTAAGTATCGTGATTATTTCCAAGTTCAACAGAAGTCACGATTTTCGGAGGGAAGACCCTTGGACCAGATTCGAAACAGTGCTTTACAATGAATGACATGTATGATACTAGTATTAAACACTCCTGCAAAAACATAATTACAACTATACTGTTATAATATGGAATATATAACTGATATTGATAAATAGTATGTGTATTATGATAATATGTTTATATGTTTAGGAAAAGTGATAGTGTTTATATATGGAAATACTAAATACTAAATATTAAGGGTGTGTGTTTCTTTCTAAGTTTAATATTATATTCTTTTATTGGAATGTATTATTAGATTGTAGGTTAGTTTAATGCTTAACTCTTAATTTGTTAAGACATTTAGGATCCCAGTGTTATATACTATCAAGCATGGACACCTCTAGACGTAGGCGTGTTGCAGTGTCTGACACGTGTCAGTATTCGACACTTGTATCACATCCGTACGATACGTGTTGAAAAATTCAAACAAATGTCAGAAAAGTCAGTTAAGTGTCACCAAAAAAATAGTTTTTTTTATATGTTTTGACACTTGTTAAATCGATGTCCGACATAAATATGACACTCATACAACACGTGTCACACAATTCAGACAAATTTTTCAGCAAGACATTGTTATTCTTTTTGTTTCATGCAACATGTGTCACATAGTTCAGAAAAGTCTTTCAACAAGAAATTGTTGTTCTTTTTGTTTCATCACACCTTATGTATTTTTTGGATAAATTTCATGCACGTCTAAAAGGGTTAAACATGTTTTAAAACAATGATATCAATGAAAAATTAGAAATATTAATTTTGATTAGAATATCTTTAATTCTTTTAATGATAGAGAGATAAATAAAACTCAAATATTATCATATACATAGCGGTGTCGGTATCCTATATTTTTACATTATCGATGTGAGAGTATATGTATCGTGTCGTGGAGTCCGTGTCAGAGTATGTGTTTCATAGATTATATATGTACAAGTTTACTACGGCTTTGTATTAAGTGTTTTATAATAAATGGTTAAAAATATGTTATTAATCGAATAATATTGATTGGATATTCAATTAGTTATAATCGTAATTAATATTATTTCCTATTGTATATTACCTATACTGTATATTACCTATACGGTAGGAAATAAAAAGTCTGAGTCACATTTGCAAACTGAATAATTTATTAAAGCAAAGGGCTAATATATAGCTTTACAAATAACTGCCTGCTATAAATCAGCTCATGATAAATAACAAAAATTAAGACTGTTTCAAAAACAACCAATTCCTAAATATGAGGACTTATTGAAAACTGACAGCAGTAACTTCCTATTTGCTAGAAACAAACTAAAACACGTTCATGTAATTTCTAGTAACAAACTAAAACACGTTCATGCCCTCCCCTAAACTAGTTGCAGTATGCAATTAGTTTACTTCATAAGATCAAACATTCCCATCTTCTTCATGAGTTTCTGGAAAGCCTCAAGTTTCAAAACCTTAGTCATCAAATCTGCAACCTGCTCCTGAGTTGCACAGTGCGCCAATTCGACTTCGCCATCCTTTGCAAAATGAAAACACACTATGATATGCTTTCTCCTTCCATGCATTACCGGATTTTTTGATAGTTTAATGGTTGAGCTATTGTCGCACATGATAACAATGCTTCCTTCTTGAACATGACTTAAATTTCTCAAAACCCTTCTCATCCATACAGCTTGATATGCACTCACAGCAACAACAACAAACTCTACTTCAATAGTTGAAAGAGTAACAATTGGTTGCTTTTTAGACATCCATGATACTTCTCCTGAACTTAATAAAAAACATACCCTGAGGTGCTTTTAGAATCTTCTTCATCTCCAGCATAATCTAAATCCGCGAAAGCAAGCAATTCTTCTTCCCCTCCCTTCTTGTAGAAAATCCCATAGCTAACAGTTCCTTTCAAATACCGTAATATTTGTTCACGGCTTATAGATGCAACTCTGTTGGTTTTGACATGTACCTACTAATTAAGCTCACACTAAATATGATATCCGGTTTTATAGTTGTATGATACATTAGACTTCCTACAATTTGTTTGAAGTAAGTGTCATCCAAAACTGCACCATTAACATCTCTATTAATCTTAAAATCTGGAACAATTGGACTATTCACAAGCTTGCTTTCAGACATTATAAACTTCTTTAAAATATCAGTGACATATTTCTTTTGACACACAAAAATTCCTTATGATTTTTGCATAATTTCTATGTCAAGAAAGAATCTCATCTTGCCAAAATCAATCATGTCAAAAGATTGCATCATAGACTTTTTGAACTCAATCATCATGACCTTGTCATCACTTGTATAAATCAAATCATCGACATAAATGCCAACGATTAATATACAACCTCGTGTACCTCATTTGATGAACAAGGTTTGTTCATTTGGGCCTTTTTGAAAACATTCCTTCATGAAATGAGACTCTATACGACTGAATCATGCTCTTGGTGCTTGTTTTAAGTCATACAAGACTTTATGTAACTTGTAAACCTTATGTTCTTTTCCTTTTTTCACAAACCTCTTTGGTTGCTCAACGTACACGTTCTCGTTTAATTCACCATAAAGAAACATAGATTTGACATCAAGATGAAAAATGTCCCATCCTTTACATGTTGTGAGAGCCACAATCATTCTTATAGTATCCATGTGAGCAACAGGAGCAAACACTTTAGTAAAATCAATTCTGTGTTGTTGACTGCAACCCTTTGCCACCAACTGAGCCTTATACTTGTCTACCTCACCCTTCTCAATCAATTTTGTTTTGAAAATCCATTTAACTCTAATTGTTTTTTCTCTAACAAGTAGATCCATTAGCTCCCATGTTTGATTCTTTTCAATTGAATTTATTTCACACTCCATAGCCTTTCTCCATTTCTCATGCTTCACAGCTTCCTCATACAAAGTTGGATCATTACTTATGACATCTTGAACCATGTAAGTCTCTGCATCTTCTTCACTTAAACAATCACCACTCTCATAACATTCCATCCAAATTGGAGCCCTCCTCTCTCTACCTTGAGTCCTATTTTCATGAGAACTCTTTGTTTCATTCCTAATTTCATTGCTCATATCATCTTCACTTCCACTCTCGTCACTACTGAAATCATCATCACTCTAAATCAAATCTGCATCTATTTGTTCTTTAAAATTTTGACCCCATTCCCAACTCTTTTCTTCCTCAAATACTACATCCTTACTAACAACAATCCTCTTTGTCTTAGGGTCAAACAGACAATAACCCTTTGACTCATAACTTACTCCTAACATAATACAAGGAAAACTTTTATCATCAAGTTTACCTCGTTTTGCCTCTGGTATATGCACATGTGATATGCAGCCCCAAACACGAAGGTGTTCTATTGAAGGCTTACCTCCAATCCAAGCTTCTTGAGGAGTGATGTTATTTACAACATGTTTTGGGCATCGATTCAGCAGGTAGAATGTGAAGGTGTGAGAAACACAAGAAAGAGCGTTTGAATTGGGTTTCACCAGAAATAATTTAAAAAATTTTCGTTGATGAAAGACCAAGTTAACTTAGAACATAAAAATAAATGAACACGACTATTTTTATTCTGGTTCACTGTTAACTAAGTTACTCCAATCCATCCCTCAAGGTGATTTGCCTTCAACAAGAACTTAATCTACTATAACCAAACTGATTACAGATAACCCACAATAAGTCAGATCAACATTATTGACACCCCCAATAATTCAGTCGATCATTATTGCAAATCCACTCAAACTGCAGCAAGAGTCTTCTTGAGATTAGACCTTCACTTGCTCACTCAAGGAATCAATCAACAACCGTTGAATACTTTTAGTGTATTACAATTTGCTTCTTTTAAGCAGATTACACAAAAGTTTTAGTAAAAAGAAAAACACCTAAGTATTTTACAACAAGATATGAGCAATAACTCCCGCCTATTTACAAAACTATACACAGAAGATTTCTCTAAAGAGTTGCACAACACTTTGGTGTAGTTTTTTTTAGCTTGATTTAATATGATAGATTTTTCGTTGTAATGTTGATTCTTACTTTTCTTCAGCTTCCAATTCTTCCTTTTATAGCTTGCAAAAGAAATTCATTGAAGGGGTAGAAAGGTAATAGGAAATCCATATGTTTGTTCCCAACAATCATAATGAGAGTGGTTGACAATACAGTACGAAAGAAATATTCTTACGCCACCCTAAAGAAGAGAAGTCACATAACACTTTTTGTACCTGTTGTAGACCATCACGCATTAACCATTTTGAAATTCTTCTAATCTTCGGAGGCTTCATATAATTTGAATGTTTGAAGCTTGTTGTAGAAGAATCACTCTTAAGTCTTAGAGCCTAAGTCTTGGAGTCTTCAGAACTTGTCCCATCAAAACCTTGTTTTCAGAGTCTTCAGCACTTGGTCGTAAGAACTTGTTTTTCTTCAGATTATCAGAGCTTGTTCAGCAGAACCTCATCTTTATAATCTTCAGAACTTGGAACACATAGAAGTAAAGCTTTAGAATGCCTCCAAATCTTAACCGTAAAGTCACAATTAAAACCTCTTTTACTGATGTTCCTAAGAACTGTTGCATAAGACGAATTCCAGAATCTTGACTTCAACTGTAACACGTAACCAAATGTTTTCTTCCAATAGTGTTTATGTTCAGAACCTGATGACGTCACACGCCTTGATACCAAAGTTAGAACATTACAGAAACAACTACACACTAGAACGAAACCATTAGAGTATACAATTGTTATTTATGATACCATGTAAAGTTATAATCAAAATCTTAAGACCAAATGTAAAAACACTTCTTGTTCTTACAATCTCCTCATTTTTGTTGATGAAAAAACCATCTATTTTAATGAACAATTTATACAAGGTACTCACCGTAACTGACAAATTCAGAATTAAGCTCACAACTCCCCCTGAATATGTTAATCCCAAAGTTTCATTTATGCTTGTTCAGAGTCTCCCCCTGAGCCCAAGACTCACAAAATAAATTTTGAATTTTCAGAACATAGAAATAGTGAAGGGACATTTCCCTACAATAACTCA